TCCCATTTGTCTCCCACTTGTCTCCCAGTAAGCTCTGGATGCTCTCAGTGCTCTGGCCGCATGATTTCATACTTGTCTTCCATTTGTCTCCCATTTGTCTCCCACTTGTCTCCCAGTAAGCTCTGGATGCTCTGAGAGCTCTGGCCGCATGATTTCAGACTTGTCTCCCACTTGTCTCCCAGTAAGCTCTGGACGCTCTAGTGCTCTGGCCGCATCATTTCACACTTGTCTGCCATTTGTCTCCCGGTAAGCTCTGGATGCTCTGAGTGCTCTGGCCGCATGATTTCACACTTGTCTCCCACATGTCTCGACTTGGCTCCCAGTAAGCCAAGCCAAAGAAGGCAACTGCGTAGGAAGGAAAAAGCCAAGCGTAGTCGTGCTCTGAGGAAATCTTCATTTTGATTGGGTCTGCGCATTCGTGTTTACAAGGGGGGCAACATATGTCACAACCTGGATCCATAAATTTCATGTTTTAGCCCTTGTACGGCGTCCCAATGTAAAGTCAATGAAAAACAGAATTTTAATGCTTTCCCTTTGAATCTTGTATGTGCGTCTACATGGTGGGCTACAGTTTCTTCCTCTAGTATATACTGCTGGCCATATTGTTCGGAGATCTCATTTTTGAACATTGCCCTGTTTGGGGTCTACGCTGGTATAATTGGTTGTTTGATGCATTTTGGGGTGTCCGCCAGGGTCCAGCCAGAATGTGACACTCCTTTGGGCGTCGGGGGCAGGAGAAAAAACTTGACGTCGACCAGGAGCCAGCTCAGCCCAAACTGATCCTGGATAGGTCCTCTGAACAAAAGCTTGACCAGATACTGTAGGGTTGTTGGGGCTTGCAGCTTGCAGTTCTCCAAGTACACATGGATTCAGGCCACGTGGCCGCGCGAATGGTTTCGCAATTTTTGTTGGCCCGAGCAGTCGGACTCAGGAACACAGACCTCATTGAGACCTTGGAGCTTGAAAACCTCATCAACCAGGTCCGATGCTTCCGGTTTGAAACACCCCTTGCTTCCTGCAGCAGAGTCTCCTCGCCTCCTCGCTTCGCATCTGAGACATGTTTGAAGTGGCCCCACTGGGGCCCTACAGGGGTCCTGTAGGTCCTGTAGGGTCTTAGTCACTGAGTCATTAAGTTGCCCTTCCTGTCTCATCTTCCTTGCACTGGAAAATAACATGTTTGTATATGTGTGTCAACTGTTAAGTGACTTCAACTTTTTGTGTTGTATATTTTGTATTCTTGTGCGGTTGATTGATAAGTACGGAGTTGTTGTGTGCTCCATGTCAGTGTGCGTTGTTGTCATTGGAACCAAGAGTTGCAGGACAAACACACTATAAAGAGCTTAAATATACAAATATATCTATAAATATAGTGTATATATATATATACTAATCGCAGGAGACCTTTTGCCTTGGATGCCTGAGCTTTGACCTTTTGCCTTGGATGCCTGAGCTTTTGTGCCATTAAAACTCAACCCTTAAGCTTCAACTTAAAACCGTTCAAAAGTCCAAAACAGCAGAGGGCCCAGCCAGCCCCCCCAAAATGAGACGATGCCTCAGATGCTTCAGGATGTCCAACCGCCTTTAACATCTTTAACCGGAATTCGCCCATGAACGATGTTTTCTAGGGGGTCCAACTCCTCCTTCGCTTTGCCAAAAACCGCCTAGCCGCTCTGCACGGCGGTGTTTTGGTTTGCTCCCGGTCCAGGCGGCACAGGAGATGTATGCGGCCGAGGCTCGCAAGGAGTCGCGGGGCGCCCATGCACATGAGAACTTCCCGGACCGATTCTTGGCCACGAGGTGTGGTGAGGAGTACATCGGTTGGTTCCTCACGAGGAGCAATACAGACAGGTGAATGTCCAAAGTTTAGGTCAGAACAATTAGAGGCTGTTGAATCGGCAAGCCGAAGACATGGTATTTTTGCTTACCCGATCCCCCACATGATTCTTTGGATTGTTTTGAGATGTTTTGAGCTGAGTGCTTGACCGATGTCGTTTTCTTAGCTCCAATGTGGTTCTAGTTTGCTGTCCGGACCGAACTTCCAGCGTTGCCTCCCGGAGTGCCCTCCCTGGTGCCCTCCCGGTTGCGCCGCAGCGTCTCCTGTCCCACCCAAGGCGACGACGAGAACTGGATGAAGCACACACTCTCGTGGCTCGACAAACCTCACGTGGAGGATGCCAAAGTGGTCCTGAAGTATCGCAGGGTCATCGACCAGCCCTTGGACAAGGAGACCCGACTCGTGACGAGACCAGCCCCAGGTCCGGAGCCAGGTCCGGTCCAGGTGCGATGGTTAAGACCCAGCAGTCAAGTCACCCCACCTAGGTGCGGCACCCAACGTGGCCCGTTCCACCAGCCGGTGATGGTGGAATCAGTCGCAAGGAGGATCCAGGGAAACTTCGTTCGATGTGATGTTTGGAGTAAAAGAGTCTTTGATTCACCTTGGATCTGGGCTCTGACGCTAAGACCCCTGTTGACATCCTTCAGCCTCGCTCCTCTCCGAGTCTGAGTTTCTCAACTGCCTTTGTGGGTAAAAGATGTCACAGTTCATCACTCCGGCGTTGCCCACTGGTTTGTCAGAGACCCAGTTTACCAGAGATCAGGGTGAGTCAGGCTTACCATTTGGATCCATTTGGTTTGTCAGGGCCCTAGTGAAAGCAGTCTTGTTTATATACCAGAAATGTCACCATCATATACCTCGCCAAACTTCTAAAGAGATTTGTCTCACCAAGGATCCAGTTCGCGGGAGATCTATTTAAATAATCTGAAACCAGAATGGTCATGAATGGTCCAGTCTAGTCAACCAAGATCCAGCTTACCAGAGTTCTAGTGAACCATTTGGTTTAGCAGAGGTCTACTGCACCATCTAGTGTGGCTGCCACCTACCTCACCAAACATCTACTTTGCGAGAGCTTTAGTTTAGAAGAGATCTACTTCACCAGAGGTCTACTTCACCAGAGATTTGCGTCGCCAGAGGTCCAGTTCTAGTTTAACATCTATATAGTTCACCAGAGATCTATTTATCGGAGATCATAATTAATGATAGAACCACCTATACTCTTTGGTTTTAACAGGGTTTTTTTTCACCATTTAGTTTGCCAGAGAGGTCCAAAAACAAGAACACCACCAAAAATAGTATATATGAAACAAACAACTTGTTAACACGCAACAAATACCAACAGCACATTCAAAACATCTGAAACTCTAACACAAAACATACTTTGATTGTTGGAACTTGCGGATGCTTGTACGTTTGGAATTTCTTTGATTTTCTGGCCAGTCTTGGGCTAGTACAAGGCATCCAAGCAACGCAAAACCCATACAAAAGCAGCAGCCAAAACGCAACACCCTAAGCAAACATATGCACAAGTGTACTCACAGGGCACCCCGTTCTGATCCGCAGCGATTGACAGGGCTTTGAGCTAGGCATTGGCCAAATAACGGTATCAACCGCCTGGAACCAGGTGGAGGCATGTTGAACTTCCTCGCCCCTTGAGGAGATGCACCATGTTCCTCCCGCCAAGCGCGTCTACTGAGCCGCGTGGGTTTTGGCGGGAGCACAGGGCCGGGTACTTGAAGGCCCGCAGGAGGTGTGGTATGGCTCAATTTGGCTCAAAGGGTGGTTGAACGATTTTTACTCATTGGGCCTTATGAGGCCATCCTTAGGCCTTGTGAATGCAAAAGATTCTACAAGCTTTGGAAGGTGAGGAAGTTTGCTCTATTCATAGTGTGTGGGGGCCCAGCTGCACTTGAGCCAGACCCTTCAAAAACAAATAGATCTTCGGCTTATGTTTCTTCACCGCCTTGTGGCGCTACAGAAACGGATGCAAGTCAATGCGCCCAAGCTAGCGCCCAAGCTAATCCATCATTCAGCTTGCTTGATTCACAAAAACAACGGGAAACAGGTTTGCTTCTCATTTCTTTGTTCTATGTATTTTTGTTTGCCCACATGGTGTTGCAGGCTTGGATGTGGTACATTGTATCTAGTATGTAGATGAGTGTGTGTTGTTCTCCAGTATCCGGTGTTTGCGACCCTTTGTGAGTCCACATGACATGTTGCCAGGCATCAAAGCAACCCTTACTTTAGTATATTGGTTTGAGGCTTCTACAGGCTTTGGCGCACCTCCTTCAGTTTCTGGAGTTGGAAACTAGAAACCGTACGCAGCTCCTAAAGCTTCTACGGCATTGCTTCAGTCGTGTGAGACCAGCAGGAGATGAATGTGAGACGTCTCGCGGTGATCAACGATCCATCGAAATGTCACAGTCTAATTAACAGTTGTGCCCAAGTACTTGGAAACAATGTCCTCAATGGAATCCAGAACATGCTTGGTTATTTTGCTTGGATTCTTGTATTGGTTCAGTTGTATGCTGCTTTCATTGAGGGGACCATGCCTAAAATCTCGACACACACTGCCCACCTTCCTCGAAGAAATCTTCAGCGCCGTGGCTGTAGCGTGGTAGCGAACCTCAGGGTCCTGTGTGAGGACTGATTGGTCGCTGCATCCCTCGGCTGAGCACAGAGACTCCTTGTGTCTTCAGTGTAACACTGTAACACCCTCCGAACTGCAAAAGCTTGTATCAATGAGTCAGAGGTCTTCGAGGTCTCCCACTTTCATGGAAGCAGCTTGGTCTCCTGGACACAGTATTCCCCCTCGGGTGTAGGATGACGTTCCGACAGGTTAAGAGTCTTCAAAATCTTCTCGATTGTCTCGGCACGATGCGGCGATTCTTACTCGCTCGGATGACAGCTCAACTAGGTTTCGGACTTGAAGCTCCCGCATTTTTGCAGGGCAAAACTGGAATTGATGGGCTGGTTTGGAAGACTGGTGAGCTGGCCTTGGCCTTAATGCCCCTATAGTTAGTTTTGCAAGAGGGGCAGCTTTGAGCTGTGGAGGCTCGAGAGTTGGCAGCTCCCTTGAATGCTTCTTCAATTCATGATGTTCTGTTCGTATGTTGTTTTTACCGGGTGCAACGGCGAGCGGTGGGGTTGCCAGGTCGGAGAATTGTTCTCCGTGTGGGCTAATTATATATATATATACACTCCCCGAAAGCTTTCACGGAAGTGTGGGTCCGATGGTCCCTTTGGATGACCATGTTTCTTTGCCTCATAGGTGTTGTTTTTCACTGTCAAACTTATTTTCAGGGAGTTTAAGCTCGGCCTCTCTCGAGGTACAATGCAGGGATTGCAGCCTGCAAGTCCGCTGCACGCTGGGAGCAGGGAAGCCTAGGACAAGTCTTTGACCAAATCAGCTTCAAGAGTATAGCCTTGATAGATCGGGTCTCCAAACTCAATTTGATGCGATTTCGCCACTTGAGCAACAACTGCTTGGAACTCCGGAGCCATACTCAAAAGTGTTCCGAAGAGGGCCAGAACTTGTTGTTCTTTTGAGCTAGGCAGGCAACAAGGACACCTCCCAGAGGGTGATGTGTGGTCCAAATCGAGCGACTCGGCTCGGTCTCTTTTGGCACTGCAGCTGGTCCAAGAGGAACACATGAGAGTCCAGGTCCAGCCACGAGAGTCCCAGGTCCAGCCGACTTGAGCATGTAGCAGGATATTAGCAACAGATGAGCTTTCTCGGAGCTGGGAGTTCCAGTGATTCTAGCATGTTCCTAGAGTTCCTAAGGAGTGCCACATCACTGGCAGATTGAATGATGATGCGGCATGGCTGATTCCAAACTCAATGTCGCCCAAATCGCCTGTGGTGCTGCAGCTGCTTAAGCGCTTGGATTTGCCATCAACTGCTAACAAGGCCCAAATCCGTGCGGCATACCTCCGCAAAGTGAAGGTTTTGCACCCTGACGTGGCGGGAAAGTCAGCTGAAGAGAGATTCCGGCAGCTCAAGGATGAGTACGAGCATGCCATGGAGTTAATGCAAAAGGGTCCTCATGCCCATCATCCGCATCGCAGCCATCCCAGACATGGTCACAGTCACGACTTTCACTCAGCACAAGCTTCCCATCATTCTCACCAGCGTCATCGCAGGCATTGGGACCCCAACCCGTGGCCGAGCACGAGTGGTGGCTTGAGCTTTGCAGAACGCCTGCGAAACAGCACCTTGATTTCCTTGGGTGTCTTCGGCACTGCTGTCTACTGGCTGAAACCTTCGCCAGACTTTGCTATGGCACCCCCCTCGCCACGCTTCGATGACTCCAAGCAAAGAGAGGCCGACCTCCAGCGCGCGGAGGCGGCGGCGAAAACACTGGCCCGCGGAGAAGGAGCTGCACCTTACATCAGGGAAAAGTCAGATTACTACAAGAGCCGCTTAACCAGGGGCACCGTTCGAGTTCGAGGCACTGACTCCTATGTCTCGCCCGCAGAGGCTGCGAAGAGCCGTGAGAAGCGAGAGGGCACTCAGTACACGAACTCGAAGGAAGTACCAGCTCCACCCACCACTTGACTAGCTTCTTAGTTACTAGTAGTAATGGCCTCCAACCTACTAGCGATGGCCTCCAACCTGTGGCGTGCTTTGTGACTCATGTTCATTTTCAATATCTTCGAAGCTGGGTGATTCCAACAAGATGTTGGACTCCAAAAGGTGGCTTTGCTGCGAGGAAAATAGAATCGGACTGTCCATGTTTGGTGAAGTTTTTGTGTTCATTTTTTTTGACTGACTTATGAACTTTGGACATTTGGACTGTTCAAGGTGGAAAACTGACTTGTTCAAGGTTCTATGACCAGCATCAAAACTGGTCGTCATAGAACTGTTACTGTTCAGTGCTAAAAACAATAACAACCAGTAGCAGTACGGCTGTCATAGAACAATCGTCCAGTACGGAAAACTGGTACTGTTCACTCCTGTCATCATGTTGACAACCAGTGCCACGGGCGACATGAAGTTGACAGAACAACGTCTCAGGGCAGCTCTGGCTGTGTGGCATGGTATGGCCGAGAGGCGTGACTATAGAGTCAAGATAGTCATAGCCACTTGTTGAAACCCTGAAAGAAAGGTTGAATATGTCGACTTTACAGAAGTACTGTGCCAGTTCAGACTCAGGAAGTAGCGATAGTTACCAGATGTTACTAGCTAGTTTGCGGAAACGTAAGCTGAAATCGGCTTATAATAGCTGCCATTCAAATCTTGGCACCATACAATCAGCATAAAAAAATATGCAAAAACAACACGTGGACAGCGAGGCACGTTTTCGGGCTGGGACTGGGCGAGGTTTTCGCAGTGACAAGGTGACCCTGGTGAGTGTCGGGCCATCTCAAGGGGGGACATCGAAGAACTCAAGAACCGAAGGGGATGTCGATGCCTAAAATTTGTATGTACTCATTTCTTGATTGTTTCAGATTGGTTCTTCGGGCATGTGTTTGTGCATGATCTCTATAAAGTGGGGTGCAACACATACACGCATATTATGTATATTTTAGATATGTATTTACAGTACGTATTTTGGCTAATGATATGGGTGAGTGACTGGTAAAAGTAATACTTGTCAGGGGATTCAAGATTCGAGGTTTCCCAGACAATATTTGTCCACATATCTTGAGTTCTTGACACTCAAGACCATGTTAAGTATGTGGTTGATTCAATATGTATTTTCCCACAAATGCCAATGAACCAACACAAACAATAAGACAAACTTTTTACAGACCACATGGGTTGAACAGACTAAGTACACGTCTCACGTGGGGCACTTTTTCAGACCGGTAGTCGGTTGGTGGTTGTACTATGACACAACATAACACATGGGGGTGGTAAGAAGGCTATGTCAGCTATGTATGGTTTTTTGTTTGGCGAATTGCATTGTTTTTTTGTTCCAATGTATGATTGAGTAGTTATTGCTGACCTTCGACAGTTACCTCCTTCAGCCTTTGTATTGCATGTGGTATTACTGTAGGTGCATTTAGTAGCCGGCAATAGTAGAGTGGACAGTTTATTGATGAACATGAGCATGGTACTGCTATTGCTTTGTTTGCAGTGTTGATGGATGAATGCTTCAGAGATTCAAGGTAAGCATTGATGACGTGAATTAGATATATAGTTCTAGTGGTGCAGGAGCTGGGGCGTTGGCATAAATTTTGCAACTTGATTTGGGCATGAAATTGAAAGCGGATGAAGTTTCTACTTGGATGTGTTTTATGACAGCAAATCGAAAATCATGCTAGTTACCTTTCTGGAGGGATACATATAAAGTGAGACAACATGTGGGAGTTGCCACCGAGAGTTCAGGACACCTATACCACCGGACTGAAAGATAGAATGCCTACCAGGGGGTGGGGATTCTAGGGTTTCGCTACCACTTAAAAATGCCTCCCA